CTGGTTTGGTGAGGGAAGGCAGTGGGGAGCCCTAGCATACTGGGTGGACCTCCAATGGAGGATTTCTGGAAGGACACGGACAAGAGTCCCATTGAGAAAATATGGCTGCATTGCCTCTTGGCAATTGGCAAGTATACCCTAGTGGAAAGGTGAATAGACTTGGAAGATTTCTCCCTGATTCACCCCCTTTATCTTGGATCTTGCAGCCTTGCTTGGCAGAGTAACAGCTCTGGATTACCTCCTGTTACCATGATCCTTAGCAACCCTCCACGAGTGCTCTGATCAGAGCCACCCCTTAGCTGCCCTAGGCAGTCTCCATTCTGGAGACTTGTCTCCATTCTGGACCCAAGAACCAGAAGACTTGGAGACTTTGTCCTAGATTTTCTGTGCCTAGGTTGGGAAAAGGGAAACAAATTTAAATCTTTTGAGGGAGGCTGCTTGATTTAAGGGAAGGAGCAAGTCAGGAGATGCTGCTCCATCACTGACCTTGGGTGAGAACCATGCTCTCCTGGCCTCCATTACCTTATCTATATAATGAGGAGGATGCCCTGCCCTTCTGGGAATTGAGAAAAAAAAAAAAAAAACCTCCTCAAATGTAACCAAAAGCACAAGACAAATGTGAAACAAATATAATAATAGCAGCATTGATATCACTACAAGGGGAGGCTGAGAACACACTTCAGGTCAATAGCTTTCCTCGCTCGCCCTGCTGTTGGCACAGCTGAAGTGTGGTCTACATCAGTGACTATTAGAAATAACCAGACTCAGCCATTACTCTGGGGAGTCTCACTAGGATGGCTCAGAAATGAGCTGGGGATGGGGGGAAGTGGGGAGGGCTGCTCCTCACCCTGATTGGCCAGACTGTGAAACCCTCACCTCTTCTCCTCTCCTGCTTAGCCTGCCTGCCTCCTGCCAACATCCCCCCTCCCATCCTGTAACACACATGTGCCCTCCTCCCCTTACTACCTTCGCTGCCTGCCCGTTTATGTTTCCACTAGGGGCAAAAACTAGGCGTGGTCAACACAGGAGTATCAGCAATACAACAGATCACATAGGATTGCAGATTGAGACCTGGAAGGAGTTTCAGAGGACATTTAGTTCAACCACTTCACGTTAAAATTGAGGAAACTGAGGCCCAGAAAGATTGTGACTTACTTTCTTCAAGACACACCAGCAATCAGCATCAGGGGTAAAATTTGAACCCAGGCTCTCTGACTCAATACTCTTCTTTCTCACCCACACCACACACACACCCATCTATGACAGCTCAGGACATTCACTTGCCCTTAACCTGGGTGGTATAGGATATGAAGAAATGACCTTTTCTTTAAGATTCTGATCCAATCCAACAGGAATTTAAAAGAATAATAATAACATCATTTAGAAGAGTGCTTTTTAAAGTTTGCAAAGTACATGTATTATCTCATTCTAACCTCAGAACAACCCCAGGAGATAGGGGCTCTACTTACTTTGCAGATAAACAATTAAGGCAGAGAGAGAAAGAGA